CACCAGTTTGCGTTCCCACCAACAGTGTAAGAGAATTCCCCTTTCTCCATATCCTCACCAAAACCTATTGTTCCTTGTGTTGTTAATTTTAGCCATTCTGAGAGGTGTGAGTTGGAATTTCATTGTGGTTTTGATTTGTATTTCCCTGATGATGAGTCATGCTGAGCATCTTTTTATGTGTCTGTTGCTATCTGGATGCTTTCTTTGAAAAGGTATGTGCTTATTTCTTCTGCCCATTTTTTTTATCTGGGTTGTTTGTTTTTTGGGTGTTGAGTTTGATAAGTTCTTTGTAGATTTTGGATGCTAATCTTTTATCAGACATGTCATTTGCAAATATCTTCTCCCATTCCATAGACTGCCGTTTAGTTTCATTGATTGCTACCTTTGCTATGAGGAAGCTTTTTATCTTGATGAGGTCCCAATTAGTTCATTTTCCTTTGTTCCCCTTGCCTGTGATAATGTATCTAATAAGTTGTTCAGGCCAAGGTCAAAGAGTTTCTGCCTGTGTTCTCTAGAATTTTGATGGTTTCTTGTCTCACATTTAGGACTTTAATCCATTTTTAATTTAGTTTTGTGTATGGTGTGAGAATGTGGTCCAGTTTCATTCTTCTGCATGTTGCTGTCCAATTTTCCCAACACCGTTTGTTGGAGAGACTATCTTTTCTCCATTGGAAATTCTTTTCTGCTCTGTTGAAGATTAGTTGACCATTTCTGGGTTTTCTTTTCTGTTCCATTGATCTATGAGTCTTTTTTTTTTTTTTTTATGCCAGCACCATACTGTCTTGATGACTACAGCTTTGTAATATAGCTTGAATTCTGGGATAGTGATGCCTCCAGTTTTGTTTTTCTTTTTTAGAATTGCTTTGGCTATTTGGGGTCTTTTGTGGTTCCATACCAATTTTAGGATTGTTTGTTCTAGCTCTGTGAAAAATGTTGGTGGTGTTTTTATAGGGTTGCATTAAATGTGTAGGTTGCTTTGGGCAGTATAGGCATTTTAATAATGTTTGTTCTTCCAATCCATGAACATGGAATGTTTTTCCATTCTTGTGTGTGTGTCCTCTTTAGTCTTCTGGAGTTTTCAGAGTACAGAACTTTTGCTTCTTTAGTTAGATTTATTCCTAGGTATCTTATTGGTTTTTGGTGCAAATCAAAAACAGTGGGATTGATTCCTTGATTTCTTCTTCTGTGGCTTCATTATTGTTGTATAAAAAAGTAATAGATTTCTGCACATTGATTTTATATCTTGTGACTTTCTTGAATTCATGTATGAATTCTAGCAATATTTTGGTAGAGTCTTTCAGGTAGGTCTTTCATGATACATAGGGTATCATGTTGTCTGGAGATAGTGAAAGTTTGACCTTTTCTTTGACAATTTGGATGCTCTTTTCCCCTTTTATTGTCTGATTGCTGAGAATTTCCAGTACTATGTTAAATAGTAATGGTGACAGTGGACACCCTTGTTTTGTTCCTGCCTGTATGGGAAGTCTCTTAGTTTTTCCCCATTGAGAATGAAACTAGCTGTGGGTCTTACACATATGGACTTTATGATGGTAAGGTATGTTCGCTCTATTCCTACTTTGTTGAGGATTTTTACCAAGAAAGGATGCTGTATTTTGTCAAATGTTATTTTTTTCTATATCTATTGAAAGATCATATGGTTGTTATCCTTTCTTTTATTAATATGGTATAGCACAGTATTGATTTGCAAATGTTGAACCACCCTTACAGTCTAGGAATAAATCCCACTTGATCATGGTGAATACTTTCCAGGTACTGTTGAATTTGATTTGCTAGCATTTTATTGAGAATTTTTGTATCCATGTCCACCAGGGATATTCATCTGTAATTTTCCTTTGTAGTGGGTCTTTGGTTTTGGAATCAAGGTAATACTGGCTTCATAAAATGAGTTTGGAAGTTTTCCCTCCATTTTTATTTTTGGGAACGGTTTCAGAAGAATTGGCACTAACCCCTCTTTAAATGTTTGGTAAAATTCCCCTGGGAAGCCATTTGACTTCTTTTTATTGGGAGATTTTATTTTTTATTACTGACTCAATTTCTCTGTTGGTTATGGGTCTGTTCAGATTTTTTATTTCTTCCTGTTTCAGTTTTAGTAGTTTGCAAGCTTCTAGGATTTTGTCCATTTTTTCCAGATTGCCCAGTTTGTTGGCATATAATTTTTCATAATATTTTATTTGTTTATATTCCTTTGGTGTTGGTCATGATCTCTCCTTTTTCATAGGTGATTTTATCTATGTGGGTCATTTCTCTTTTCTTTTTGATAAGTCTGGGTAGGAGTTTATAAATTTTATTAATTCTTTTGAAGAAGCAGCTCTTAGTTTCATTTATCTGTTTTACTGTTTTTTGTTTGTGTCTATAGAATTTATTTCTGCTCTAATCTTTATTATTTCTCTTCTTTAGCTAACTTTAGGCTTCATTTGCTCTTTTTCTAGCTCCTTTTGTCATAAAGTTAGTTTGTGTATTTGAGATGCTTTTGCTTCTTGAGATAGACTTATATTATAATATACTTCCCTCTTGGGACTACTTTTGCTGTATCCCAAAGTAGCATTGGTTTGGGTTTTGGACTGTCATGCTTTCATTTGCATTTACTTGCATGTATTTTTTAAAAGATATGAATTTAGTGCCATTGTTTTACCTATAGAATTAGTGTTTCTAGTGATGTTGTCTGGTCCTTTCTATCTTTGTTGTTTTTGTTTTTGTTTTTTTCTCCAAAGAGTCCCCGTTAAAATTTCTTGCAAGGCTGGTTTACTGGTCACAAACTCCTTTAGTTTTTGTTTGTCTGGAAAACTCTTTATCTCTCCTTCTATTCTGAATGACAGCCTTCTAGATAAAGAATTCTTGGTGTCATATTTTTCCCATTTATCATATTGAATATTCCCTTCTACTCTTTTCTGGCCTGCCAAATCTCTGTGGAGAGATTAGCTGCTAATCTCATCTGCCTTACCTTTTAGAGTAAGCACCTGTTTTTCCTTGCTGCTTTCAGAATTCTTTATTTGTCTGTTTATTTTATGAATTTGACTATGATGTTTATTGGCAATGGCCAGCTTTTGTTGAATTTAGTGGGTGTTCTCTGTGCTTCTTTGATTTTGATGTCTGTACCCTTCCCCAGATTAAGGCAGTTTTCAGCTATAATCTGTGGAAATAAACCTTCTGTCTCTTTATCTCCCTCTTCATCTTCTGGGACTCCTATAATACAAATATTATTATCTTTTACTAAGTCATTGTGTCCCCTATGTCTACCTTCATAATCCATTACCTTTCTTTCCCTCTTCTTTTTCGCTTCATTATTTTCCTTAAATTCATCTTCTATATCACCTATTCGAACCTCTGCTCCACCCTTGTTTTTATGGCCTCCATTTTTGTTTGCATCTTGGTTATAATATTTTTAATTTCAGCTTGACATGATTTTAGTTCTTTTATCTCTGTAATAAGGGATTCTCTAGTGTCTTTATGTTTTTGTTTTTGTTTTTTTTAGGCACAAATTAGTGAAAGCAATTGTGTAATACAGGTGGGGAAAAGCATATCAATGAAGGAAGCTTTGATAACAATGAGACATTTCTCAAAACCTAATAAAGAGATAGAGGTCCTCAGGTGCTTCTTGATGTGCTGCATCTAAGTCTTTAATAGGGGTGTCTTGGTGGCTCATTCAGTTAAGCATCTGACTCTTGATTTCAGTTCAGGTCATGATCTGAGATGGCACCCTGCATTGGGCTCTTCTCTCTGAATAAATAAATAAAATCTCTTTTTTGTAAGTCTAATAATATCTGTGATTTAATCTTTGGAGTCAACGGGAGAGATGTAACAAAACCTGGGACAATGGGCCTCCTAGGACCAACCAGAGAGGGCCGAAGACTGGAGCTAACTCCTGAATGCTTTGGGCCACATAGGGCCTTTGCACAGTTATTACTCATGGGGAGAGGATCTGGAAGCTCCAGTAAGAACTAAGACAAAAATTCACCCTAGCCTGATTGGCTGAGGGCTCAAAGATTCAATTTTGTCTTTAAACAAGTTAATATAAACATTTTAAAGATGGATTTAGGACAGTGATTAAGGTCTGCTACATAAATACATAATATTATGATATTGACATATATTATATATCAAGATATTATATAATATATAATAATATTATATAATATGTTTATCATATTATAATATGCAATTATTGATATCTTTATATAAATATATTAAAAAGAGAGATAATTGAAAGGACATAGAACAATTAATAGTTACTTTGGAGTAGAAAAAGGAATACTGAAGGGAAATGAAGGATTATCAATTTATATTTCATGTTTCTGAATTGTTTGAGTTCAAGCCAATGAGTTATAATTTTATTATAATTAAAAATGAAACAATACCAATGATGATAAACCTTAGAGTGGCCAAGTCAATGTCCTGTGGACCAATCTCAGTCCATTCCAGCTTTTCACACTGGCCATTCTCTTCAAGAACCTTTCTATTCCCCAATAGCTACTCCTGCTTCACTTAGCCACTGTGCATTGGTTATTTTCTGGCCTCAATCCTCTGATGACAACTTTTGTTCTCTGCAATCCCAGTCCACTCTGTCACAACCACCACAGTCACTTCCTTCAAACAGTGCATTCAAGACTCTACCATTGACATTCCCAGCTGAACCTCTGTCCATCACAGCAGCCAACTGGGATTCCGGTCTCTGAGAGTAATGGTACATTTTGGTAATCATGGTGCCTTCCTTCAAAATGTGCAGGGAGAGACATACCAGGGAAATAAATGATCTATTTTTATGGTAGATATTTATGGAAGTCATTGAATTTTAAACTACAGTACAATAAATGTATAAATAGATTAGGAGAATTTCAGGTTAAATCCAATGTCAAGGATGTTGACCAGCTCCAAGAATATCTGCCTTTTCGTCTCTGTCCTATTCATCATCTTCCCCTGAAATCAAATGCAGAACACTTACATTCCTGTAGAGTGATCAGTATTCTCTGGTAATTACTCACCAATCACCTTCAGCTCCAAAGTGGCTACTTCAAAGTCACTGTCTTTTTTAAAAAAACACTTGTACATTCCATTGTCTGAGATCCGGAGACTGTAGATTCTCACAGCTACTCTTCCCTCAGTGATGTAATCTTTCACCAGCTCTGCTCTCCCCTTGAAATCTACCAGCTGCTCTCCAGCCTGCTCCATTCCATTCCTATACACATACACAGCCTCGGAGAACTGGGAGCGGAACCACCTCAGCTCCATGCTCTCCAAATTCAGGGCTGGGGACACACGACAGGGCAGCACCGTGTCAGTGCCCAGCATGGCCACAATTGGCTCGGAGGGGCCGATAACCAAGAATGAATCTGTGGAATAGAGTCACAGTGAAAAGAATATCAATGAACTGCCTGGGCATTTTGGAACACAGCAGCATTACTGGCCCAGTAGAACCCCGCAGACATTCTGCCATTCATTCACCACTTCTCTGCAGCACACATTCAGGCTGAAGATGGCAGTGAACAAGACAAAAAGGATCTCCACCCAGTCAATAGGTAACCTCTTGTTAGACAAATGATTTTTTAAATTGCAATGGTGATCATTCTATGAAGGAGGAGGGGATAATGCTGGGAAATCATGAAACCAGAGTTTTTAATTAGGTCTTGGGCATCAGAAAATGCATTCTCCATGAAGCAGAGACCTGAGTGAATTAGAAGAAATTAGTCAAATAATTCCACCTGCTCCTTCTCTCTAAAGTAACCATGTAATGACTTATTTGCCCTCGTGTGTGGGCAGATAAATCATTATACCAAAATGAGGGATTTAGAATTAACCGAGGCATATAGGAGTAGTGCTGGAGTAATTTAATCCTTCTGTTTAAGAATAAGAGAATCTAATAATATAAAATACTAAATATTCTTACCGGAGCCCCACATGGATACCTGGAGAAGTAGGATAGAGAAGAAATCTCTTAGCAGAGAGGAGTCCAGGGAATTCACCATCTTTCCCAGAGTAGACAACAGTATGACACAGAGTAAGGTCTGAAAATAGCTGGACTGAAGACAAAAATGGGATTCATAAAGTAAAAACAATCACAGTTAAGGCAGTTCACAGTGATTCTAGGAAATGGCTTCCAGAAGCTCTCAAACATCTGTTGTGTGTCTCTCCCAGGCAATATTACAGAAGTTTTAACAGTCACAAAAAAATACCTTTTGTTTCCCTTTTTCAAGGAAACAGTCTTCATCTCAACAGCCATGTTCTACAGTGATAAATCTGTCCACAATTTCTCTGAACTCTTTTTCTAACTCAAGAACACTTTGTCCAGGGGATAAAGAGACAAAGAGACAGTGAGGAGGCAGTGAACAATCACAGAAAGAGATGACTTTAGCACAAACATTAATTTGGCCTCAATGATTTCCACTCTCCCCACATTCCTAGAATTCTAGAATGTGAGCATATATAACGTGGCCTGTTCTCTGCCAACCCCTAGGATCCTTGCCCAAATGCTCTCACTTCTCTCTCTCTTGCCCATCACCCATAAAATGCAACACTCACATCTTTTAAATTCTTCTTACAGAGATAAAGGCGTCCTGAAACTTCCTAGACTCATGGCCACAGGCACCAGGGATAAATACTCTCTGCCATTCCTCCCACTTACCTGTTCTTGGCTGCCCACAGGTGTCTCCCGTGAGACTTTCTCCAAAATGCCCACTGGATATCAGACTTTACAAAACATGGAGCCCAGGAGGAAGCCTGGGGTAGTTTTTTAAGGTAGTTCAAACAACTGAGAGAAAGACACCCCACGGCACGGGAATCTCCCAGCAGTACACTTCTCTTTGGCCACCCTGACACACTCAAAACTGAAAGTAAAATAAGTTAAAGAAAGCAAACTTTGATCTGTCATGTATAATAAGTCTATTTAATGATTACATACTTAACAAAGTATAGAGAGGATCAAAAGCAAGTGATTTCTTTCTTTCTTTCTGAGAAGTATATTGTCTAGATTAATAGCACAGATATAGAAGAGTTAAATATGAGTTAAAATGCTGGTGAGGCTATTTACAACTTAAGATTTTGAGTGAATTATACAACCTCTCTGTGCTTCAGTTTCCTCATGTGAGAATGGGTTGAATAATAGTATCTACCTTAAGTTTTGGGTGAAGAGCATATGAATGTATTTAAAGCACTTAGAAGAGTATCAATAACTTATAAATTATGTGTAGGCCATTAGCAATTTTTATTTTAATGTCTTCCTTACCACAATATATCTGCCATTCTGATGATGAATTTTCATCTCCTAGTTGGACCCCTTATTCCATTAGGCAATGAACTGAGAAGACATGGGCACATTCACACTCTCCAACTCTTCTCCCAGATAGCAATTTTCCCCACTGACATCTGGCTTTTATCCATCTCAACCAGGATAAAAGAAAAACAGTATAAAATTCCCCAGATGATTCTCTGAGACTCTCATCTTCCTTCGGTGCTGCAAATAATGGAAGGAGTAAGGATGAGATTACTGTCCCCTATCTACATAAATTATTTTTGTTTCAAAGAGCCTTCAAGTTCTATGAATTCTAGAATAATTGTTTCTTGCTTAGAATGACCGAAAGAAATTCTGAGTTAGAGACTGAAAAAATTTTAAAAATTCTAATCTACATTTTTGAAATTCTGAATCTAAGACTGAATATCTATAAATGGTTTATAAGAGACATAGCAAAACAAGAAGTAAACAAATACAAACCAGACATATTCTATACAATTGTAGATATGGTACTATTAATTTTAAAATAAAAGTAACATTCAGAGAGAAATAATTCAAAGAAACAGAATTGCCGTTTCAAATAGATACATTTATTAACAACATGGACTTTCAAGTGGTGCTAATGACATACAGATGGATTGAATAATGCAAAATCAGTTGGGAACTCCAAAAGAAAGGTATAGTCATAGTCAGAAATGAACAGAATCATTATAGAACATATAAATGAAGTTATAGAAGTTTTAAATTATATAAACTATGCTATGCCAAATCTTTATGACTTTATGAGATCCAATAATTTCTCTTAATTTTTTATTAATATACATCCACTGCAGGCAATTAAGATGGATTAGTAGAAATGACCCAGTGTGACACTTACCTAACCCCTTCCTACACTGTGTTGGGAGTGCCAGATCTTTCCCAGGTGTTCTTTTATAAATAAATACCAAAATTATCTTCTTATTTTGAGGATTCTTTTTGCAACTTGCTTAAGTATTTAATCTCAATAGAGATTTGGATTCACATTTTCTAAACAGTCAGGGATTTGACATGCATATGAATGATACTTGAATTTAAATTCATGAAGTAAATCACTACCACAGGAAAAGCCACATAATCTCCCTTGGAGGGGTCTACTCTATTGAGAAAGGCTACCAGAAAAAGGAAAACAGATATAGTCAGCATGTGGCTTCTCCATTCCTAGGTAACTAATTTTAATAGACAATATCTACCAAATCTATCCTTCCACCTTACTCCAACTCAAATAACAGTGGCCACCCAAAGTGGAATAAATGGAATTTGGGATGTAGCTCCAAAACCTTCTCCCTGCTCCAAGCCCCTGCATTCAAAACCTGCAACACTTACTCTTTAGATACGAAAAGTTTTGAGGCAGAAACTTCTAATTCTTTGCCTGTTCAGAAACTTCTTTCCTATGCCCCTACATTTAGATGTTCATTTTGTTGCTTAGATCATTCTAATTTCTACTAGGAAATGTAAAGACTACATTTGTTTTCTAGCAAAGAATTCAACGTGACAAATGTACGATGGAAGCTGATTCTTTTTTCTTTTGTACATAACAGGTATTTTGGACTGTAGAAGCTTTGAGGCTTTTGTTTGTTTGTAGTTCTAAAACTTTAAAAAAATTCACATATAAATGGCATTTTTTTCTTCCAATAATTGAACTCTTTATAAAGTGCCCTTTCTTCTGATTCTGCTCCTAATATGCTTCCCAGTTTAGAAAACCTACCTATTAGATGAATGTTGAAGTTCTGGATCTGATGTGCTTATTTGAACTTATGTTTTTTAGATATTATCTCTTTGATTTAAAGTATCATATTCTTGAAGAATCCAGTAACTCCATTTTTCCAGCCCAAAAAAAATATATTTTTTAAGTTTTAATTTAAATCCCACTTAGTTAACATGTAATGTGAGTTTCAGGTGTATGATTTAGTGATTCAACACTTTCATGCAACACTCAGTGCTCTACCCCAATATTTTGACCTTTAGACGTGTCTACTCTAATATCTGACTGTGCTAGTTGGTTTCTATTTTAAGTCAGTTATCCACTCCCAAGAATGCAAATTATTTCTTTAGTCCTGCATTTTCTCCAAATGAATCCTTCTTATTGTTTCACATTTGTATTTTAAAAAATCTTCATATACATATTAGTCTTTACTTTTTCATGAGAGAAATCTAAATTTTTGACATAAGCAAAAACAACAGAAACATCATATCACTCAGAAAAAAATGTCATATCACACCATATCATTTTTTGTGATTTTGATGTCTATCCTTTCGTTATTTCTTACACAAATAAGATTATACTGTTCATGCCATTTTAAAACTGCTTTTTGACAGTATCAGACAAATCCAAAGTGATGAATATTCTAAAAGTAGCTGCCCTTTATTCTTCAAAATTGTCAATGCCACTAATGACAACTAAAACTTAGAAATCTGTTCCTGTATCAAGAGAGACAATAATGACTAGATGAAACATGTGATCCTGGGCTGGGATCTAGAGAGGGAAAAAAACCAATAAAGAATAATATTGAAACAATAATTTTTTTTTAATCAAACTGCTTTTTGAAATCAATAATATCTTGTAGTGCTTTTTCCCTTCCTCTCCTCTTCCTCCTTAAACGTGTGAGCATTCTTATAGACATGATGTAATTCCCTTAAAGTATTCTCCACAAATTAACGGACTTTCCTCAAATAATTCTCTATCATTGGGAAAACTATCCAAGATTTTTTTTTTATGATAGTCACACACACACACACACAGAGAGAGAGAGAGAGAGAGAGAGAGAGAGGCAGAGACACAGGCAGAGGGAGAAGCAGGCTCCATGCACCGGGAGCCCGACGTGGGATTCGATCCCGGGTTTCCAGGATCGCGCCCCGGGCCAAAGGCAGGCGCCAAACCACTGCGCCACCCAGGGATCCCTATCCAAGATTTTTATATGAATTTTTCACATTTATATTTCTAGCTTTACTGGAAATGCATATTAAACTATTTACATTTTGGAATAGAATATACCCACATGCATATTCACAAATTTCAAAGTAAACAAGAGGCAAGTAGTAACTTTAATCCTTACATTTCTTATTCAGTGTTCTCTTCCCATTCCCAAATACTTCAGACCTAAACTATTAAGTGGATGTCAGAGGCCAAGTGAGACAGAGGGCCTCAGTGGGGAGGGCTGATTGGGCCAGGAGGGCGTGAGTGAGGTGGGGAGTCAGTCCTGAAAACAACTGCAGAAGAATATATTGTACTATAGTCAAAAAATGCCATATTATACAGCAATAAAAAAAACTTTTACATGTATGATAAACATAACATGGTTGAATCTCAAAAAACATTGTTTTTCCAAAAAAGCCAAACATAGATGTAGACATACTGTATAATTTCTTTTTTGTTATTGTTTTTTGAAGTTTTAGAATAGGCAAGTTAAACTATCATGATTTATATCAGAGTACTGTTTGTTTTTCCTGGAATGAATTGACAGACAAAGGAGATGAGGGAAATTTGCAAGAGACAGACATATTCCATATATATATTTTTACGTTTTTAGTTATTTATTCATGGGAGACACAGAGAGAGAGGCAGAGACACAGGCAGAGGGAGAAGCAGGCTCCCTACAGGAAGCCTGAGTGGGACTCGATCCCAGGACCTCAGGATCATAACCTGAGCCAAAAGCAGACCCTCAGCCACTGAACCACCCAGATGCCCGGACACGTTCCATAGTTTGAGGGAAGTGGTAGTTACATGAGTGTAAACATTTGTAAACTTCATTGAAATGTACATTTCAAAACCATGCATTCCACTGTATGCAAATTATATCTCCATAAATTTGATTTCTAAAAGGTCAGATGTACCTCACTGTTTCTAGAGAATATTTATTTAGGATCTTGGTATTCCTTTGGCCAGATTGTTAGTGGCTTTCTTTCTTTCTTTTTTTTTTTTTTTAATTTTTCTTTTTTTTTTCTTTTATTTTTTTACATATGTTTTTAAATTGGAATTCAATTTGCCAACATATAGCATAACACCCAGTGCTCATCCCATCAAATGCCCCCCTCAGTGCCCATCACCCAGTCACCCCCACCCCTGCCCACCTCCTTTCCACAACCCCTTGTTCGTTTCCCAGTTAGGAGTCTCTCATGTTCTGTCTCCCTTTCTTATAATTCCCACTCATTTTTTCTCCTTTCCCCTTTATTCTCTTTCACTATTTTTTATATTCCCCAAATGAATGAGACCATATAATGTTTGTCCTTCTCCGACTGACTTATTTCACTCAGCATAATACCCTCCAGTTCCATCCACGTCGAAGCAAATGGTGGGTATTTGTCGTTTCTAATGGCTGAGGAATATTCCATTGTATACATAGACCACATCTTCTTTATCCATTCATCTTTCTGTTAGTGGCTTTCATACTAATATTTATGCAACTGCTATTTGTGTCCTTAATTATCTGTAAGCCTTGTGTGACATGAAAAAACATGACTTGGATGTGGAAAGAATTGAAGTAGTAAGAAATGCCTTTTGAGCACATTTTATGTCTAAGACCATATAACTGTGTTATTATTCCCATTTTACTTTGGGGAGCCCTAAAGATTTTGGAAATATAGCCCTAAGCTTTACAGAGCACAAAGTCCTCTATTTTCCAACTCTTATTTTTCCCTGCACAGCTTTCAGTGCCAGTTAGGGTATGGTAGGAAGAAGCCTATATCTCTTATTCTTGTTCCCTCAATCGGTTAACTTTGTGAGTTCAACATTGGGATGATCAACATCCTTGAATATCACACAGGAAGAGGATTCTCTCTTCCTGAATAATGTGATTTCAGCCCTTTGCAGGTAGGAGGAGGAAGCTACACTGAGCTTTTTTTTTTTTTTTAACCAAGGCACACTATTGTTCTATAGCCCCACCAGTCCAAAGTCCCCTAGGATGACCTTTCTTACTTCCACTTTCAAAGTAGCTGCAAGAACTGCGGACAGGTTGTGACTTTTTCACTGGATCCATTCTAGGAGAGGCATTCACATGTCAGTGCCTGTAACCCCCTTCCTAAGGATATTTTTCCAGTCTAGGAATGGGTTAGAAACCTACTATTCCCAACCCTTCCAGCCATATCTTTGGATGCTGACCACAAGAGCAACCAGGTACCAATTGTGTCTGGAGCTGGACCTTGTAGTCTGAGGAGATCAGAAACTTCCAGGAAGTCTCTTGGCTCAATCTGAATGGTGAGAGAGAAATGTGTGGTGATGTGGAGATGTGTCTGTGGGAGATGTAGGTCGTAAAAACAAAAAGGCTTAGGATCCTGGTCATAGTAAAAAAACTCCCTTCTCTTTCTGGAGTTAAGCCACAAGAGTGTTTGTGGTCAAAATAAATATGTAAATGTATGAATGAATCAATGAATGAATGCAAGAAAGAGGAAGTTAGATTGGCTAATAGGAGTGGATTAATTTTGTGTCTGCCTTTATTTCTCAAAATGAACTCGAGCTTTTCAATTTCAAGAGAGCCCGTGGGTCACAAGAGAATGGTTTATAGTTTTCTATACCTGCTGGGGAAATAGTTGGTTTTCAGAAAGAAGGAAGGAAAATGCATTGGGAGAGGTTGAAGTTGGTAGTGGTCTGTGAAGAACAGGCCAAAACTATGTATAAAAGTAAATTTTTGAACAGGGGATTTTTTTTTCTTGAAAGTTTTCACTCTTGTGGCTTTCTCACCACCTTGTCTTACACAGTACTTCCTTGTCAGAGTAAACATTTTGTCCTTTCACTTTCTGCTCTGAAGAAGATGGTGGGTTCTCCTGGTTATTCTCCTGCTGGCTTCCTCCTCCCTCTCCTCCTTCTTGAGGTGTCTACATGGTACTCAGCAGGTCAGTGTTCTCTCTCCTCTTTTTTTATTGGCTTGTTTTTAATGGTTCTTCTTAGATGATGACAAAACTTAGATCATGTATCAGTTGTCATGTACCTCCTCTCCAAGGCACTTATATTGGAGAAAACTGTAACTGTGTTTCCAGACTGGAAGGTTCTGGCCAAGAATGGGAGTGGTCTTTATATCAACACCCCTTATTACTCTGGGTAGATCTTATAAAACTCATAGCTATAATGTTTATCTAAATCTTTATTTATTGATTTTGGGTGATTTAAACCTGCTTAATTTCAATGTAATATTATCAGTTAAATATACTTTATAACATTCCCCACAGCGAGGAAAACCCAAGTCTGAGCACAAAGAATTTGGAAACCCTGGGCTCTATTCTGGTTATGATCTTTGAAAAATAATTTTTGTTTTCCTCTGGGATTTGAGTCCTTCTTTCATAAAATAGAAAGGACCCTCAGGATAAAGTTTTCAGACTCCAGTTTGGAGAGAAATCAACCATGAGATTACAGTAATGAGATTTTTTAATTAAAATCTCTTTAATCTGATGTCAGTTAGCAGGGAGTATTAAAATGTTTGATGTCCATGCATGTTGACTCAGTAATTATACAACAATTTATCATAAAAAAGGTTCTCCTTGGAGCAGCCCAGGTGGCTCAGAGGTTTAGCGCCGCCTTCAGTCCAGGGCATGATCCTGGAGACCCAGGATTGAGTCCCACGTCAGGCTTCCTGCTTGGAGCCTGCTTCTCCCTCCACCTCTGTCTCTGTATCACTCTCTCTCTCTCTCTCTCTGTGTGTGTGTGTCTCTCATGAATAAATAAATAAAATCTTAAAAAAAAAGGTTCTCCCATGTGTATATGTACATATGTATTAAATGTTTATTGTGGGACTATTTATAGTAATAATAAATTGGAAGCAACATAAATATTTACACTGATACAGGAAAAGCTTAAACATGATGCTATATGCTGTGTCAAAAACAATAGGTAGAGCTAAACTATCTGTACTAAAATGATTAGATGTTCCTTATTACAGAAACTGGTATGTAATGACTCCATTTAAGAGAAATAAAATAACTTTTACACTACATTGTGGCTATGAGTAATGTCAAATATCTTTCCCTAATTAAATGACTCATACAACATGTACAGCCAGTAACTCTGTGTTAACTAAGAACACATATCTGTTGAGTACTCTGGGTTTTACACAGGAATGGGAGAGAAGGGAGACCATGGCCTTCATCCAGCCTGATGGCCAATGTCATGCTCCTTGCCTAGCCTAGTCCACCCTCTCTAAGACACATTGGCCATGGGATTTTTCCTTTAAGCTCATGTGGCCTTGTCATTGTTGCTCAACACTCCTGGGTCCCCTCATAGCCATGCCTTTCTGAATTCTTCCCACTCCAGAGTCACCATATTTGTGGGCCTTTAAGCTTTAACCATAGAAAAAAGCCACATCTTTGGCCTCTGCCAGTACGAGTTTTGCCCAGGGGACATCAGTCACCTTTTAGTTATGATTGATTTCTGTACTAAAGTAATTTTCAGGGGCAGCTGGGAGTCTCAGTCCATTGAGTGTCTGCCTTTGGCTCAGGTCATTATTCCAGGGTTCTGGGATGGAGCCCCACATTATCAGGTTCCCTGTTCAGAGGGAGTCTTCTTCTCTCTCTCCCTCTGACCCTCTACCCTACTTGTGTTCTCTCTCTCAAATAAGTAAATAAAAATCTTTTTTTAAAAATAAAGTAATTTTCAAGCAGATGCCTTAAGTGACTTGACAGAGGAGCTTATTCCATAATTAAGCAAAGTCTTCATGTTCAGCTTGCAGCATCCTCCTTCCCTGCCCCAGGGAATCCAACCATCCTCTCTGGTAAAGACTGCTCTGCTCTTACCACCTGGAACCACTGGCTTCTAAGTCCTCTCAAAAAAATAATTTTTATGAAAAATTATTCTTTAACATTCCAAGCATTCAGTTATTAAGAAAAAAAGCAACTTAACCTTATAAATTCTACCTTTCACTTTGAGATGAAAAACACTGCTAATCCTTTCCCTCCTCAGAACAGAGTAACCTAAATCTTCAGATCAGAAATGACTAATTATCCTCCTAGGAGCAGAGTTTGGGAGAGAAAGAGATGGGTGTGGAGAGAAGTACCTTCTACTCCTCTCCTACCAAAAGAAGGGATAATTGCTTAATGAACTACTTTGCCACATTTAATTCTAAATAAATCTCTTTTATATAGGTTTTACATAATTTACATACAATACTATCTGTAAACGCATAGAAAAATTGTCCTTTCAAATGCCAAACTATCAGTAGTTGTTACTTCTGGAGAATATAGTTAAAGAAGTTAGGTTCTTTATATATATATATATATATATATATATATATATGTATATATATATATATATATAATACATATATGACTTTTTTGGGAAACAATGCAAATAAGAAAGAAATTAAGATGGGTGTTTTTGTCTCACTCATTTCCCTAATCTGTCTTTGATTTTCATGCAGTGTCTGGGTTTTCTGTGAAGGGACCGGCTGAGCCCATCATGGTTCTGCTAGGGGCAAATGCCACTCTGCCCTGCCAGCTGTCCCCAGAGCAGAGTGCAGCTGACATGCACATTCGGTGGTACCGAACCCAATTCTCTCCAGCTGTGTTTGTGTACCAGAATGGACAGGAACAAGGTGGGGAGCAAATGCTGGAGTACCATGGCAGGACAGAGTTGGTGAGGGACTCCATCAACAGAGGAGGTGTGGCCCTGCTGATCCAACATGTTCGTGCCTCTGATCATGGCCAGTACCAGTGTCATTTTAAGGATGATCAGAGCTCCCAAGAGGCTATTGCGGAGCTGCATGTCATAGGTATGTTAACTTGGCATAGAATGTGTATATCATGGTATAAAGCAAAAAGAAACATGAGGATGTCTGGATTCCTACCTTGGCATTTCTTATGATCATCCTTATATTCTTACATTAATTTACCTTGCAGAATATCAATTTTCTAAGCTGTGCAGTGAGGATAATACTATATACTCTATTCACTTTAAACACCAAAAAAGGCAGTATTTCTGAATATGTTTTGGTATCCTAAAAGACCCCAGAAAATTAATGGACTAGTATTAATTCAGACAGGTACTGACACCCTCAGACATTAGTTTTCACCCAATCAGTAGAGAAAGACAATTTATAGAATTAAGCTTCTTTTTCTAACTTTAATTGTACCTGTTTTTTTCCTCTCCTTGAAATGACCCCAAGCTCTCTTAGTCTAAGTATAGTGCAAAGACATCAAGTTTTCAAGATTTCAAAATTGAATCACAGGTTGTCCTAACATTTACTGTGAGAGGTTTATTGACCTCTGAGCTTCAGTTTACTTATCAGTATAGTGAGGACATTTCAACCTTCAGCCTCAGGGACTCCTAAGCCCCAAGGACCACAGGCCTTAAAGACATGCCTTATCTCCTCAGGGTTGGGCTCTGTGCCTCATGTTCACATGATGGGACCTGAGGATGGTGGGATCCGAGTGCTATGCTCTTCAGATGGCTGGTTTCCAAAACCCAAGGTACAGTGGAATGACATGTTGGGAGTGAATCTACAGTCCCTCTCTGAATCTCAGACCCAAGATGAAGATGGGCTCTTCCATGTGGAAGCATCTCTTGTGGTCATGGACAGCTCTCTGGGCAATGTGACCTGTTCCATCCAGAATCCCCTCTCCAGACAAGAGAAAGTATCATGCATCTTCCTCCCAGGTGAATGAGGTACAAACCCCAAAGCAGAGTTGGGAGTGTGATGAGGGAAGGGAAGAGGGAAAGAGGGCTCAGGAAGCTTTGGGGAAAGGGCAGGATGGCCTCCAGGCTAGTCCTCACTGTGTCTTCACATGTCTGTGTCAGAGCCTTTCTTCCCCAAGATGGACCCATGGAAGGCAGCTCTGGCTGGGACAGTCCCTGTGCTGATGCTCCTCCTCATTGGAATCAGCTACACAGGCTGGAGAGAACATCAAGCCAAAGAAAAGGAAGTAAAGAAAAAGAAGAGAGAATTTAATGAAAGAGATCAGATGAAAAATGAAAAGGAAATGGCACAGAAGGCCACAGGTAAATCAAGGAAGCAGAGCAAATAGGGTTCATGGAAAAGCTGGGGGTACAGGTTGTATAAGGCAGACGAGGAAATAAAAGGTTGCCAAAGGACCCCAAGGGAAACATGGAGTACCCTTGTTTCATAAATTCAAATTCCATAAAGCTGGAGCCCTATGAAAAGGAGGAAACCATGTGAGAAGCTTGGATAGTTGTGGGCAGTGGCTATCAGGCCTCTAAGGTGGGGCTCTTCAAACCACACCATGGCCCTCATGCGTCTGCCCCCAAACTGTGCTGTTATGTCTCCTTGTAGAAATGTCTTCCCCTGTCTTCTGCTCCTATTCTTCTTTCAAGAATAAGCTTCTTAAACACCTAAGAAATCTTGAATTCCCATTGAAGCATGGGCACTCCTTCCTCAATGAATTTATGACGTTTCCCATGTAACTTTTCCTAGCACTTGTCATTTTAGATTCTGAATGTGTGTTTGCTAATTGTTCTCACCTACTTAACTATGGGACCTCTGAGGGAGGGCCACATTAAATTCATTCAGCTACTCCATGAACTCAAGAGAAGCCAAAACCCAATTTGATGGATTTTATATCTCTTCTTTCAGAGAAACTCAAGGCAGAGCTTGGTGAGTCTTACTTCTTCTCATGCCTTGTGTAGAATTTTCTCCCCTTTCTACATCTGTTCTAGGACTCACTGAATGTTCTTTCTTTCAGAACAGAGAAAGGCACTATACCTTGAAGGTAAGAGACTGAGTTTTCCTCACCACTCAAGGTTTTGATGTCTAACACTTTCTTAGCTCCCTCTCCTCAAAGAGAAAGACTGAAAGATTTAAGAGTGACTAGTGAAAAAAAATAAGGGGGAGGGAGGAGAATGTGAGGCTCTGGATGTCTTGCCTTGTCTAAACTGGATCTGTTATGTTTTAGATTGGAAGAAGGCCCTGCTGTATCCTGGTAAGTAACTTAGATCTTGCTATGTGTCTCTGATATTCCGAGTGCAATAAATAGAGATATAAGCACACATACACACATCTACTTGCAAGTTGTAAAGATTTATTTGGTATCAATCTATAGTATTTTGTATTTGGAAGCTCAAATATTCAGTTGTTTTTTTACAGCTATGGTTAAAGGAGAAATAACTGTTGACTTATAAATTCTATATTATTGAGTATGACTCAACATCAATTGTTAACCCATCCACTATGGAGAAGGGAAGGAACGAACTCAGAGAAATTTTGATGAGATTTAAGAAGACTAAAGAATACTCTATATTATATCAGCATTGCTATACTCTCAATAAAGTTTTAAAAAGCAGATAATATATTTTCTATTTGGGAAAATATATTAATTATTATTTTATTTATTTTACCTATTTGAAATAAGGAAGGGAAAGTTCAATATACAGGAACAAGGTTTATATTTGAAAAAGTTTGAAAAACAATCTTTCAAAATATTTTACTACCATTGTAAAGATATATTTGTCTGATGGTAGAGGGAATTGGTTATTTTATGTATTCTAATCTCTGGTCCATGTACTGTGTGTGTTTAAGACAGGGTGTGTGCATGTGCAAAACAGAGTTAGACCTCAAAAGCATACTAGGTCTTTCCTTAAATATATAGTTGTGAAATTTTTATAAGCTCACTATTGTTCTAGATGTTTATGGCATAAACCATAATCTCTGACTGTGTAGAAATTAAGATCCATTGGAAGAAGTAAGGTAAGAACCAGCCAACTGCTCACAGCGTGATAAGTACTTTGATAAGATAGGTCAAGGTGCCCCTCCCAAGGGTTAAAGTCAGTATGCAATTTCTACTAAGAGTTTTCTTTCAGAAGTTGCTTAAAAATGTTCCCATGATTCTAGAGGAGAGAACAAAGTATAGTAAGGATGAGGACATACAGATTTTAGTTTTAGCTCCATCACAGCTGAAGAATTTAATCATTTTTTGCTTTCCTGATCTCAGCCTCCTTATCTCTAAGATGAAGATGTCCTTCTTGACTCATATATTCTTTAATTCTATGTATAGAGGGCTACCCTTCTTTGAAGAAGCATCTCAGTAAAAGACCATCAAGAATTATGGATAAATTCTTTTTTTTAAGTTTTATTTATTTATTTATTTATTTATTTATTTATTTATTTATTCATAAGAGACCCAGAGAGAGGCAGAGACATAGGCAGAGGGAAAAGTAGGCTTCCTACAAGGAGCCCAATGTGGGACTCCATTCTAGAATTCTAGAATCACGCCCTGAGCCAAAGGCAGACCCTCAACCGCTGAGCCACCCAGACATACCTATGGATAAATTCTTACTGCCTATTGCCCCAAGAGAATATTCAGTCTTTAAATAAAGTCACAAGTTCTGTCATAAGAGAAGTGGGTCCAGGCAGAAGCAGATGTAGTTCTATTCCTCATGAAGAAATTTCTGGAGAAAAATATTAAAAACATGATTACAAGCATTAAAATAAAAAAGGACTGTTTAAAAGCCCTGGTCATAAGCTTAAACTCTACTCTGAGGTGGTCACTGGCTGGGAAAACCCTGAAATAAAATAAAATAATAAAATAAAATGAAAGGACATTGTATAGCTTTCATCCTCAATGAGGAGTGCCACAAAAGTATTAAAAGCATAGGTGCCTAGAACACTAGACCCTGTTCTAGATGTTCTCCAGACTTACTCCTCCAGCATCCGCCCAATGAGGGGATCATTTCTAATTGAGACACATGCAGGAAGTACACCCTTTGTCTTGTAGTTTCTGGACACTGCAGAGTTCAAAGGGCTCAAAGGAGGAGGAAAAGAGAGCTGAGAAGAGATAGGAAAGCAAGTGTGTCCCTCCTTTTCATTCTGTGGGCATGCTTCCATCACAGGTTCAATTTGTATTGCTCTTTTTCAGACTGGAGGAAGAAACACTTCCAGTGTGGTGAGTAGCTCTTTTTTTTGTTTTTGTTTTTTTTTATCTTTTTGACCCCTTTCTAACTTGCCTTCTGTTATCCCATTTTTCCCTCTCAACATTGTCTCCTAGTTAAAAAGACAGAGGCAAAGAAAGGAAAGAACGTGAAGATCATTATTTGTTGGCCTCAACTGAAAATTGCTGCTAGGATTAGCTACTCTGGTTATATTTCCACCTTCATATATTGGCCATGCTTTTTCACCTGTGGTGGTGGGGGCACTTGGTTCTGAACAGAAATTATAGCTCCTCAGTTGAGGAGATCTCCAACTGAGTAAAAAGTGCTCAAAATGATGAGTAACACAGCTGCTCTTTTAAAAGAGGCCAGCTGACATGGAGCCTATTACTAATTGAAGAACATAGTTGGAATTTGTAGAGAAGTTGGGAAGAACACTATTCTCAAGTAAACACTGCAAGTCCCAGCTCACTCTCATACTCTGCCAAGACACTGATAATAGCATAGGTAAGATAAAATGAGCTAAGTAGCATTGAACCCATGGTGAGAGCACTCCACAGCTCCACCTTTCCCAGTACACACACATTCAGAGGACAGGGGTTCTTTCACTACTTAATTAATTTCTTTAAGGTTTCACCAGCACAACAGCTTTCTGAAATATATATGTAACATATATATTATATAATATTGACCCTTCCTTTCCCTTTTCTTTCTCCCCAGCCAATGTGACTGTGAACATGGAAATCTTTCATCAGAGTAATTCTGACTCAGAGAGAAATGAGAACTTTAGAGTGGAAACACAGGATCTGTGTCTTAGTGATAAGCAAGGAGACTGTAACCTTATCACACTTAATCAGGAAGACTTCACTTCAGGAAAACACTACTGGGAAGTAAATATTAAAGACATTGATGAGTGGACTCTCGGTGTTTATGAGAAACTCACAGACAAGAGTGAGCTATCCACAGATCTACAAAACAAGAAATTCAGAGTCTTAGAGAAGAAAGGAAGTGAATACCGGACTCTCACCTGTTGCCCCCCAAACATTTCCCAGGTTGACTGTCTCCAGATAGGAAAGTGTCCACAAAAGATTGTGATTTTTTTGGATTATGAAGACAATGACATTTCTTTCTATGACATGATTGAAGGTACCCACATCTTTTCCTTCACCCAGACAAACTTCTCTGGGTCAGTCTATCCTTACTTCAACCTTAAATGCATGGAGCATTCCCATATCTGCAATATTAAGTGACTTACAGGAAGAATCTATACTGTGAAGACAATAGCCCATTCTCTGTAAACCCTAGCATGCCAGTTCTAATCGATGACCTCAGCCTCACTGATTATGAGGCCTCTCGGGCTGAGGCTCCATAAGTCCTCAGGAACACAGTTCCTGACTATATTAAGCAGTATTTCTTAATTGCAGAGAAGAATTTTTATGCTGTAGTTGTTATTGTTATAAATGCTGTTTCTTGCTTTATATTTAATATATCACAGACTGATAATTTTCTTTTTTTTTTAAGATTTTATTTATTCATGAGAGACACAGAGAGGGGCAGAGACACAGGCAGAGGGAGAAGCAGGCTCCACGCAGGGAGCCCAATGTGGGACTTGATCCCGTGACCCCAGGATCACGCCCTGGGCTGAAGGCAGGCGCTAAACCGCGGAGTCACCCAGGGATCCCCAAAGACTGATAATTTTCTAAAATAAATTACTAGAAATATGAAGTTAATAAAAAACATGCATACAATTACAAGTTGTAATTAATTTATTGTTAGATTCAATATATTTAAAATTTCTCTGTTGATTTGTTCTAAAACATCTGTAATATTCTATTTCTGTATTTGTCTCATAAAGAACTGGTAAGAAATAGTTAATATAGCTCACTGGTCTGTGAACAACACTTTGAGTAGCACTGTTAAAGCAGTATTCAAAGGAGTAAAAATTAGAAAAACCTCCTCCCATTTCTCCATAGCAATGCTAAATAAAAGCGACAAAATAGTGCTATTTTCAAATGTTGGAGAAAAGTTATAATTTGATACATGCTAAGCTATATCTTAAATACAAGGATAATATGAGGAAAGAAAAAGACAAATATCTAAGCACAAACCAGTTCTAACAAATATGATGACGTCAACATGGTAGAGGTCTAGGAAAACCAAAGAGGAGAGAATATATTGAAGTATTTAAAGAAAGACATTTTATTGCTTTGCTAAAGATATTAATAAGGGAAATGACTACTTTGGGGAATTCTAAGTATATTCACCAGTAGAAGTAAGGAAAGGCCCTTTTTCCCTCTCTAATAAGATGATTAGAGGAAATAGTACTTAAGGTTTAAACAGGGGTAAGAAGAGAATGTACTTTCATGAGCTAGACTGAAAAACCTGGTAAATTCTGTGGATATAGGGTAGAATACCCAGAAAAATCTTGCCCTAGTAGCAGAGAATAATTAGCACTACACTAAAAACTGATCCAATATCCAGTATGGATGAACAAATCTTAAAAGCAAGACTCAAAAGGATCAATTTATTTACAAGTATCTAACTTCATTCCAGAGCAGAGCTCAACATGATAAAATTCAGTATCTGACATCCAATAAAAAATTAACAGATTTGAAAAGAGGCAGGAAAACCCAACTCAAATTGAACAGAAAAATCAATAAATTGAAATTGACACAGAACTGATACAGGTGTTAGATTTAACAAACAAGGACATGAAAACAAAAGTTATAGCTATATTTCAGATACTCAAAAAATTCACTAGAGATATCCATTTAAAGAAAACAAATTTAACTTCTTTAGATGGAAATGACAATGTGTGAGATGAAAATTATATTGAATATGGCTAGCAGTAGATTAACCATTGCAGAAATAAATGATCAGTGAACTTGGAAGACATAGAAACAGAAACTATCCAAAATAAAACACACACGCAAAAAAAAAGAATTGAAAAAAATAAAGCCTATCAATAGTCATGGGAAAACTTCAAAGGGCCCAATACAAAGGCAGCTGAAGTCCTTGAAAAGAAGAGGAGAGTGGACAGGAAAAAGATTTGAGAAAATAAGAACCAAAAATATATTCTAAATTTGATCATTATAAACTCCAGACCCAAAAAACTGTCTTAGTCTGTTTGGGCTCCTCTAACAAAAATACCATATACTCAGTGGTATATAAACTACAGAAATTTATTTCTCATGATTCTGGAGGCTGAGAAGTTGTCTTCAGATTTGGTGCCCAGTGAGAGCTAGTTTCCTGGTTTGTAGATGGTTGTGTTTTCACTGTGTCTTCACATGGCTGAAGGGTTGATGGAGTTCTGTGGGGTCTCCTTTACAAGGACACTAGTTCCATTTCTAAGGGCTCCATTGTTATCTCTTAATTACTTCCCAAATGTGGAAATACCAAATACCATCACTTTGGGGATTAGGCTTCAACATATGTATTTTGGAAACACACAAACATTCACTCTGTAGCAAAATTCAATGAACTCAAAGCACAATAGTAAAGAAAACACATAGCACATGAAAATCAAATTACTTAAAACCAGAGATTTAGGGACACCTGGGTGGCTAAGGGCATGATCCCAGGATCCGGGATCAAGTCCTGCATCGGGCTCCCTGCAAGGAGCCTGCTTCTCCCTCTGCCTGTGTCTCTGCCTCTCTCTCTCTGTGTTTTTCATGAATAAATAAGTAAATTTTTAAAATAATAGCCCAGAGATTTAAAGAAACCAGAGTAAAAAAAAATTAAATTATGTATAGAAGAACAAAAGTAAAGATGACAATATTTTTCATTGTAAGCAGTGAAACTAAGAAAACTGTGGAGGAATATCATAAAGTACTGGAATAAACATATATCATCAGAATAGAATTTAATACATAGTGAAAATTTTTCATAAGCAAAGGTGAAATAAAGATGCTTTCATTTGGGACACCTGGGTGGCTCAGCGGTTGAGCACCTGTCTTCAACCCAGGGCATGATGCTGGAGTCCTGGGATCAAGTCCTGCATCAGGCTCCCTGCTGGGAACCTGCTACTCCCTCTGTCTCTGCCTCTCTTTTGTGTCTTTCATGAATAAATAAATAAAATCTTTTAAAAAAATGTTTTTATTTATAGACAAGCAGAAAAAGAACTTATCACCAGTAGACCTACACTACAAGAAATGAAATGAAATAAATGAAATGAAATGAATGAAACTGTTTAAAACAGTCCCTTTAGGCAGAAGGAAAATGGTAACTAATGGAAATTTGTATCTATACAAAGGAGTGAAGAGCACTGGGAACAGATATCTGTATGGGTAATTATAGAAGGATATCTTTTTATTGTTTCAAAAATTTAAAAGATAAGAGACTTTTTAAACAAAAATAGTAACAATGAAGAATGGGATTTATAACAGAAGAAAAAAATGTAATGTATGACAACAATAGCACAAAGACCAGGAAGAAAACATGAAAATATACTGCTGTGAGTCTCCTACTGGACATGAAATAATGTAACAGCAGTCAAGCTTAAAATGTAAGTTAAATGTGAATGCCATAAACTGTGAACAACCACTAAAATAACAATAAAATTACAGCTAATAGGCCAGAAAGGGCAAGAAAATGGATCATCAAAAATAATCAATGAATTAAAACAGAAAAAGAGGAAAAAGTTAAGATAGTATAGATAGAACAAACAGAAAATAAACAGATGATAGACTTGAACTATATCAATAATGACATTAAATGCAAAGGCAGATTTTTGGATTGGTTAAGAAAATAAATAGCCAAATATATGCTGCCCACAAGAAAAATACTTTAAATGCAAAAATTCAAATAGGTTAAAATTAAAAGGATGGAAAAAGACATATTATACAAACATTAATGAAAAGATAGCTGAAATGGCTCTATTAGCATCACAGTAGATTATAGAACAAAGAAAGAATATTATCCAGGATAGAGAAGGTCATTCTATAACAATAAAGGGATCATTCATCATAAGAACGTTATAATACTAAATGTTTATATAACAATAATCATTTACAATAAACATAAATGATAATGCTTAATATTATCTAACAGACCTTCAGAATTCATAAATAAAAATCTGATAAAATTAGGAGAAATAAAGTCACATATATAGGACATACCATTGAGCAAAAGAAAGCACGTTATTTTTTTTTGTATATATTTTTTTTATTGGAGTTCGATTTGCCAGTATATAGAGTAACACCCAGTGCTCATTCCATCAAGTGGCACCCTCAGTGCCCGTCACCCAGTCACCCCAACCCCCCGCCCACCTCCCTTTCCACTACCCCTTGTTCATTTCCCAGAGTTAGGAGTCTCTCATGTTCTGTCACCCTCACTGATATTTCCCACTCATTTTCTCTCCTTTCCCCTTAAGAAAGCACATTCTATTCAAGTTCATGCAGAATATTTACAAAGAGAGACCATCTTCTGAGCCACAAACTATATCTCAATAAATTAAAAAAGATTCATTATAAGATACATTATAAGAAGTATCTTCTCTGTTCACAGTAAACTTAAGTTAGAAAGCAACCCAGGAAGATATCTGCAAAAATCCCCACATATATGGAAACTAAAGAACATGCTTCTATAAACCTTGGGTCAAACAAGCAATAAAAAAGGAAATTAGAATTAAACTTTAAAAAACAGTACATAGTGAAACCCCAATGCCAAGTGGAGGACAAAAACAAAGACAGTAGAAGTTAAAGCCTTTAGTGCCTATGCTGTGGAAAACATTAAATACAGCCCAACTCTTAATCGGATTTACATAAATCCTTCTATTAAAGGCCTAATTGCTTTAGTTTCTATTACCTCATCCAACATTTATGACTTTCAGCAAAAAATTCCAAGGCATGCCAAAGGCAAAAACAAAATAAAACACACACACAGAAAACAATTGAAGAAGCAAATTCAGCATCAGAATGAAACTCAGATATGACACAGAAGTTGTAGTTATCAGGCAGGAAATTTAAAATAATTATGAATAATATGAAAAGGTCTCCACTAGAAATAAAAAAGGAAACATGCAAGACCAGATAAGCCACACAAGCAGACACAGAAATTTGATGGCATTTTTTTTTTGTCTGTGAACTCAAAATGGCCAAGAAAGAGTTAGTGACCCTGAAAAGAGATGAACAGAAATTTCCCAAACTAAAATGTTAAAAAAAAGAATGACAAAAAGAGAACAAAATATAAACATTCAAAAACTATGGGACACTATCTAAAGATGTAACATCCGTGCAATTGGAATACCTGA